GTTGATCAAAATAACCTGTCCAGATATACGCTAAACTACCAAGTTAAATTTTTTCCTGAAAGTTGTTTGCAGGAATCGCAGAACTGTATAAACACCGTTTTCGTAGAACAAACTACTGGAAGCGGAGATAAAAAAAGTGGTACTATGTACGCTACTTTTGCCGTGCAAACGAATGCTCAAAAACATCCTTAACACCAAGTCAACGTGCTGCCACACATCAGTTAAGTAGGGCGTGTTAAGGACGATATTCATTTTCGCTTCGATTAAGTATGTGTGGAAAACATTTTCTTTTCGAACTTCACCATGTTTGACGCCTGTGTTGTCATGTCTCGATTTTCCATTCGTAGGCAGTCGTTAACCTCCTGGTTGACACATGAATTGCGCGTTCATAGGCACGAAACAGTGCCTAGGGCCAATGAGTATTTTATTTAAGATGTAACATAAAATTTTAACCCGAACAGAAGACCAAAATTTTAAATAATCACATTGGGCTGCTGCAAGATCCTGCCTCTGTTGGTTTTCGGAACCTACAGCAACGATCTTAAAGAGGATGGGAGGTGTGATTTATTGATGGTCTGTAAAACTGCAGAACAAATTGTTATGAAAAGTATACAAAGTAACCTCCTCTGCCCGCAGGCTGCCGATTCAGAAAAAATAATCCTTTAAATTATAATAAAAGTTCGAGCCGTCCGGTTCTACTAGAAGCAACCCGTCGGATAAAAAGCAATTTTGTAGTCCAAATAACAGCTATGATCAGAGAATTCTGGAAATAATTGATGATCAAAGTAATTTAATTTAATTTAATTTAATTTTTAAATGGTATATTCAGCTGTGGTATTATCTCGCAAAACAAAATTTTACTGTGTATATTTATTTTCTACAAATACACAAGTCAGATATATCGTAAGCCATTTTTAAATTAATGAAGTACATTTGTAAAATAACTCTCTGTGATATTAAACAATAGAATGAAAGGTTATTATGTCCGTGGGAATTGCTAACTAGTTACAAGCAAACCTCCAGTAAGAATATATTATTACAAGATGCCCATTGCTGCTTCTAGCCCTTTCATTAACTCATCACTGTTAGGCTGTGTCAAGACCTATCGTCTCATTTTACAAAACTAAAAAAATTTAATGCCAGTCTGCATCATGCCAGCATGGCTTAATAACTCCGCCACTCTTAACCGTAGATCAACATTGGGTAAAATATATATCAGGCTTTGCGTACTGTCTCCATTTGCGGATACTACTATCGCAAAACGCTTCCCTAGTATCCTACCGCCGCATTTTAAAAAGAGTGATAACTTTCAGAATGCTTCCCCTTTTAGCTCTTTGCCTGTGGAGGTATTTTTATCGCTTTAACCAAAACCAACTTTGTACAGTGCCTGAATAAACTTGGTTTCACAAGTATCCGTTTTTGTACACACCCATTATAAGCTTAAACACTACAAAAAATCTAGGTTTCTACGTAGAAGAACTTAGTGCACTTTTATCGTTCACCAGAAATGTTATCAACAACCAACCGTTTTTACGTATCTTGGTCTCTGTTTTCGACATACATTAATTACAACAACCATGAGATATTTCGAACAAATACCAAGTTGCATGCCTACATTTTTGCCCGCATGTGTTATGTTTTTAATTGGCAACTCTCTTGGCTCAAGTAACTTCGGATGTTTGCGCAAGCCAAGCAAATTTGCTGTATACATGCAAAGCAGAGCAATTTGTTAATACAACATAATAAGAGCATATTATCAATTGAAATATTACCACATCGGCGCTTTTGGTATCGTTTATCAGCCATATAGCAACTTTGGCTTCCCCAAAATCTTCCATAAATATTCTGCGATTTCGTGCGATCAGCCGTACTTCAGCTATGGGTTTGTCGAAGCGCGCGTCCTTTAGAGGTGCCCTGGTTCGTAATATGCATGCATCTGGGTCAACTGTAAACAGTGCTAATGGGCCGGATAGGGCCTCCAGCGCATAGCCGACCGCCTGACAGTCCTGAAGGTCGGTATCCGCTGTTGAACACAAATCCTGGTCGATGGCTGGTATGCAACCAAGCACTTGGCCCGCTGCAGCACTGGACGGCATTCTTAACGCATACGCCTTGGCAAGAAATCTAGGTGCATGGTTTACTGGAAACAGGCAAATGAAAGTGTGTCAACAGTAAAAATTATGTCTATAAATGTAAATATCTAAGCCAAACAGTCAGTCAGCCGATCCGGAGGAGTCCTCCTGTTGACTGTCGGCTTGAGAATACATGTCGTTGCACCTATCTACGCATTTGTGTGAATAGGCTCTGCGCTGAATTAAGATATTGGATAAGTTGCCTGACTTATTGGACATCTTGAAGTATAAATAACTTGACACCTTTATTGCCGTCAATAAGTATATTTTATTCTGGCATTCTCACGTGCGCTTTATTTCTAGTGCATTTATGTTAGTCTAAAGATCTGCCTCAACGTCTTAGCAACTATTCAAAGTATAAGCTTGTTCACATTTCCGCAGGTGGATTTTGATGCCTAGTCTCCCATTTTTATTTTCTGCACACAGAGATTAGAACATTTGAGAAACGCCTGCTCATTTTCAATTCCTGCGTAGAAATTTTTCCATTCGTTAACTGAATCAATGTAGGATAAACTCACTGCAGTCAGGTGGAATATCAATAATAAAAGCTTCATTTATATAGGACCACCAATTGCACCTATAACCAGTAACAAAGTGCGAAATATAGTTGTCATATGTCATAATGCAGCTTTGTCGGGTAAGTGAGCGTCTCGGTTTTAGAAATTTAAATACACTTTATCCTGTCGGCTACAACGCGAGATCATATGTTAAGATGGCGGACTCATTTAATGTCTAGGTTGTGTCCAATTCCGCATTAATTCATGGCTTAGGATGTGATGGTTGTGGTCGTTGTAGCTTGCCTTAACACTGCTTGTAGTACCCTTCATGATAAACTTGACACTAATAGAAATCACTGATTAAGATCTGTAGTTTAATGAGATAATAGAAATAATGTACAAACGTACGATAAGGAGAATATTCGATTGGTAGAACAAGAAGTGCATTGTTCTAACAATTCTGACAGTCGGAAACGGCCACAGATAAGGGTGACAAAGGCACAATGTATACACGAGACCACATTTTTGCGTACATTTTGTTCATATCATCCTTATATGCGATTGTCGCTTATAATGGGTTTCAGCGAGCATCCGAAACCTCAGGCCCATAAACTTTTTGTTACAGCGATCGCAACTCCTCCGTCTGAACTGCTTCTGAAAGCACGCCTTTTCACATCTATCGGCTTCCAAAGTATAATCAGAGAGTTTATACAGATTGCTGAGAACATCCAGAGCCTATACTAGCTACATACTGATGCTGCCTATATAAAGCATTTTTATTTCTCTTAGAAATAAGCCGAAAACAATTAAATTGCAGCTTCAACCTACCCACAGTCAGACATCCAGGTCCTGTTCGGCAGGCGGGACAGTCCTTTTCAAAACGTATCCATTTTTTGCTGCATTTGTTTAAGGTTAACTATGCAATTATTTTAAGACTTGCTTTATCTCCTCCTCCTCCTTTAGTTTCATCCCCTTACAAAAGTCAGTCTGTTGTCTTGAAATATTAATTCCTGCAGCCACCAGGAAGCACAGCGTAAGCACACATTCCTCCGTCAAAACACCCATTGCCGTTTCAGTGGGTGGTAAAACTAGGACACAGATGCTTATATACATGGCCACGACTGGTTCAAACATGCATTAGACAATTTTTGCTACGTCTGAGATGTGTTTCGTCGATGTTTTTGTTCAGTTGCACGTCCCATAG